CCAAAAACAATCCAGCCCAGCACAGGTGGCTCACGCCTATAATACTAGCTATTTAGGAGGCTGAGATCCAGAGGATCATGGTTCTAGGCCAGCCTGGGCAAAAAAAAAAAAAAAAAAAAAACTTCACAAGATCCCCAAATCAATGGACAAAAGCTGGGTTTGATAGAACATGCCTGCCATTTCTGCTACTGCAGGAATCTTCAAATCAGAGGATCACAGTCCAGGCTGGCCTACCTCCAAAATAACCAGGGCAAAAAGGGCTGGAGAAGTGGCTCAAGCAATAGAGCACCTGTTTAACAAGTGACAAGCTCTGAGTTCTAACCCCAGTCCTGCCAAATAACAAAGGGAAAAAAACCTCCAACATAATCCAACAATGACATCTATGCTGAGCGATGCAATTAGGCCAAGCACCTCCTCTCTGTTTGGAATAACAGTATTTGCAAAATTGTTTCCCATTTCCAAAGGCCATTTCCAATGGAAAGAGAGATATGAAAATTTGAAAAAGTCAGTCCTTGGGTTTTATGCCTGGGAAACAACAAAGAAGAGGTCATGAGAGTCTTTGTGGTTTAGCCTTTTCTCAGCTATTTGTTTTCAAAATTCACCCCAGGTGACCCTCTGCCTCTATAAAATGGAATCCATGATATATATCTGAAACCATTGAAATGATTTTTAATGAGGAGTGTGGCTCTGTTAGTGTTCCAGACAGAAGGTATGGAGGAAGAAGCATTTCCCATTCCTTTCTTTTTTAGCTGCCTATTAGTCAAAAACCAAATGAACAAGTTTTCTTTTCAGGAGATCTATTTAGTAATGAAGCAATTCTGTAAGGTATCCAGTGCATCCCAAAAAGTCACCAATTTTTTAAAAAAATTCCTAGAATCTCATAAATTCAGTTTTACTTCTGTGCTATACTTCATAGGGCTTCAAGTTGATAAAGGTATGGGTAAAATATATGTATCTTAATAGAGACGATGAAAAGAATGCTTTTAGGAAGTGAAGTGGCACCCTTGGGTTTCTGGTCCTAATGTGGCTAGGGAAGGCTGAGATCTTGAGAGACTTTTCTGTTAGTGAAAAGATAAAAGATTTTTTTTTCTCTTTTTCTCAAGTCTCCCATCATTAAAGTTTGGTTCTAACAGCAGACTCCTTCTCTTTTTCATGTGTGTTGAAAAGCAGCTACTCCCTGTATCAAAGCCATCAGCCCAAGTGAAGGATGGACGACGGGAGGCGCCACTGTGATCGTCATAGGAGACAATTTCTTTGATGGGTTACAGGTCATATTCGGTACCATGCTGGTCTGGAGTGAGGTAGGTGTTGTCTGAGCATTAATATCTAATAGCTTGGTCTAGTTGAAGACACTATCTATACTTGAATTTCTAATAGAATGTGCAGAATTTAGTGGCGCCACTCTGGGTGGGCCAGCTTCAGTCTACAGAAGTTTGGAAAACTAAGGGAGATGGACTGAGTTTCTCAAGAGGCAGCACCTTCTGCTGGATGATTTCCATCCTCTGGTCCTTGGGCGCTGGAGATATTTGTGTTTTGTAACTCATCCTTTTGGGCTGCATTGGGATGTAAGTCATCTCGTGTATTGGGTCTTGGAAGGGAGAGGCAGAGCCTGTACCACAGATAGATTCTAGTCTAGCCTCACCTTCAATGAACACTGTTCAAATGGAGTGATAATTCAGGCACAGGGGGTTCTTTACGTGCATCCTTCATACATACATACATGTAATGCCAATCAGGATGACACTAGGAGAACCTGGACAAACCAGGACTTTTCCATAGCAGGAATGTGCAGCTCTCAGGCACTTGGCACTTGTACAGCTCTGAGGCACTTAGGGTGTGACTGCACCCTCATGACAATAGCAGTGTTCCCTCTGTGCAGTGCTTTCTAAGCATGTGACGGTCCTTTCACCTGCTGGCTAACTTGTCTGGCAGTAATCAGCATTAGCTTAAGATCACAAAACGTGAATAGCAGCATCACAGAGAGGCCACGACACCCTTCCCTTTGCTTTTTGAATTCTGAGCCTAGATTGGAATTCTTAGCCAGCACGCCGAGTCCCTTCTCCTTCACCTCACCACAGTATAGAATAAGAACATGTTAGGGATTTAAGAGATCACAGTGGTGGTCTGTTCTTCAAATAATTTATATGTAGTCATATCAACTGCTATGCTTTGAGACTTGCTATGTGCTAGATAGTGTGCCTAGCTCTTTAAATTTTTTTTGGCAGTACTGGAGTTTTTTATTTTTAAATTTACATCTTTATTAACACATCTTTTCTAAGACATTATTTTTAAAAATAAATTAAAGACTGTACTTGCATGGCAATAAACAATGATTTCCTGGATTCTAAGTTTCTTTTTCTCCCCCACTCTTAACTCAGGTCCTTGGACGTTCTACACAGGTGCTCTACCTCTTGAACTATACTCCAGGCTTTTATTGCTTTAATTATTTTTCTGTTAGGGTCTCACACTTTTTGCCTAGGCCAGCCTCAGACAGCAATCCTCCTATCTGGTATGCAATGCGTACCTCTCTGCAGAGACCCTCTTAGTCTCCTTTCCTACCACGTAAACACTCTTAGACGAACCCTTGCTTGATAAGCATGCTGAGGCTTAGCGGTAAATGCTTGGATAACTGAAGATAGCAGCCCAGAGCCCATGGAGGAGTGATGTGTATGTGGCCACACAAAGAAGTCAGAAGCAAACCTGGAGTTTGAGCCCAGATTTTCTATTTCTGTTTCTAGTTGTCCTGTAGTGACACCACTGTTTGGCCCATCTAATATTTTATTTGGGGTTTCCTTTAGAGAGACCATGGGAATGAGTAGAGAGTTGAAGACTGTGATTGCTGGGCATGCTTGACTAATTAAACTTCCCCTATCCCTCGTACTTGGTTTAAAATTTTTATTAGCATAAGTTAATTGTACAAAGCAACTTCATTGTGATATTTACATATATGCATATAATGTACTTTGATTAAATTCATTCCATCTGTATTACTCTTTTACTCTATCCCTCCACCCCCCCCCCTTTTAACAGGTTTTCGTGGTTTTCATTATGCTCTTTCATACATACATGTAATGTATTCTGATCATATTAAACCCCTCATTACCCTTTCCTTCCTTCCCCTCCTGCTGGTTGCCCCCCAAAATAGCCCCTCTTTTATGATTATGTCATATTGTTGCTATTAGCTTTTAGGTCTAAATTCCACATATGAATAAAAACATGCATTGGCCTGGCTTATGTCATTTACCATGACAATCTCCAGTTCCATCCATTTTCCTGCAAATGACATAATTTGATTCTTCTTTATGGTTGACTAATTCTCTATTGTGTATATGGACATCCACATTTTCTTTATCCAGTCATTGGTTGCTGGGTACCTTAGCTCTTGTAAACAGTGTTACTATAAACATGAGTATGCAGGTAACTCAACTGTATACTGATTTACATTCCTTCAGATATTGCCCAAGAATAGTTTAGCAGGATAATAAGGCAGTTCTATATTTGTAGTTTCTTGAAGATCCTCCATATTGCTTTCCATGGTGGTTGTACTAATTTACATTCCCACCAACAGTATAGAAGGGTTCTTTCCCCCATCTCACCCCTCCCCATCCTCTCCAACACTTGTTGTTTACTTAATGATGGCTAGTCTGATTGGAGTGAGACAGAATCTCAATATCTATCCTTCTTCCTTTTAGTTTTTTGTTTCTGTTGTACTGGCGTTTGAATTCAGAGCTTCCAAGCAGGCACTTACCACTTGAGCCACACCTTCAGCCTGTGTCGACCTTCTTAAGTAATGCATGTGCACCTCTCCCTCCCAGTCACCTAGTCAGCCCAGGCCTGGCCAGTGCACAGCCACTGCCTTTGTCTTTTCCACTTGGCCAGCAGGAGGTGTGCCCCTGGCCAGAGCAACAAAGCTCTGGAGAAGCTAAGTCAGAAATGGGCTTCTCAGTCCATCCACTGTTATCCAAGTCGGAACACTCCACACATGAAGGGTAGACTGAGCCCTGCTACCAGCTGCACCCCACTCTTCAGTAGAATTGTTGGGGTGTAAATGAGAAGGGTCATGCCCACTGCCTGATCACTGCAGCTGGGGTCTTCATAGGCTAAGGATATCCTCTCCCAGGTCTTCTCTCCTTCCCATCCCCTTGTCTCCACTTTCTGTTGCTTTTCATGAAGTTGGAGAGGAGAGAACTCTAAGATGGACCCTTGCTGGTCATTGCAGTCAGAGTGAGGACTAAGATGGAAAGCAGAGTTGGTAGCAGGTTTCATTGACCTGAGAAGAGGTGAGTTAGTCTGAGGTGTCCTGTAAATCTGTCTCAGCCCAAGAAGATGCCATTGGATGTGGACAACAGACACAGCAGGAAGTCATTCTTTTTCTCCCTGACTTTGTCCCTAGTCTTAACAAGGACCTCTGTCTCCTCCCACTTCCCTACTTTCTGTTTTGGGGAGCGGCTAAGGGGGGATTAATATCTAACTTAGATTTACCCAGTTGATTTTGAAATTATCTGTTAACAAAATAAATGGCAGGCATGAAAGGAAACCCACAGAAGCCATCCTTCTGTCCTGCTCCCTCCTCTGGGCCTCCACTCCCACTGCCTTGTGAGTGCCAGAAGGTTCTCTTCACTTGGTCCTAGAAGTCAAGGTGGGTCCCCAGGAAAAGAGAGTGCAGACGCATCCTGCTTCTTTGCCCATTCTCTTCCTCCCAAACTACCCTCAGTGTGGCTATGTCATAAATCAGCAATGAGCCTGTCCTGGTGGAAACTGCCCATGTAGTTTCCCCAAGAATTTGAGCAGATATTCTCCAACAATAACCAACCCCCCACAGCATTAGCAATGGGGCACCTGGATGGATGACTTTAAGTGGGGCTGTTGTCATGATGATTGTCCTGATGTTCTGAATAATGTATCCTGGAGAAATGAACTCAGTGTGTAAGATTCTATATTTAGGTTTCTATACAGGCTATTTAGCAAGTACTGTCTTCTCTGCCTTTATGTGTAGGGAGAGAATTTGGTACTGCATCAAATCCAAAAATTCAGTGTCTATGGAGAGAAATGGAGAACTAGCTAACAGTTACTAAGAATGAGTATCTTTAGGCACTTTGTAGGCATTACTTTACCCAATCCTCCTCTTAGCCTTATACTCAGTACTGTTGTTATTCTCCTTTTACATGTGAGTAAATTGAATGTCAGAGAGATGAAGGAACTTGCACAAATACACGGCCAGATAGGAATAAAACATTAGATTTGAACTATTCTGCATTTTGTTTTTGTTTTTTGTTAGAGTCAAAAGTCCCAGTTAATAAGAGATCAAATGTAATCTTGAGGGGGAATAATGACAGAAAGAGGAAAGAGAAAACAAAGATGTACAGTAAGCCAAGTGATATAGTAGAGATGTAGTAATTGCAAAAATGTCAATGATGCTTAGTTGTTTTAATCAAGTATAATTAGGTAAGGGTCTTTTATTTTTGAAGGAGCAAAAAGTATCAACCAATTTTGAACCTATCTCTGAGGCTTGCATTGGACAGAACTAGAATGCAGTATGGTGAATATTTGAGGAAGTCTATGAAAAGCTATAGAAAAATGGACTTTGACCTAACATTAGCTAATGTTTGTTGAGCACTTAGTTCCTGCCAGGTGTTTGGGATATGGTCACATGAGCTTCACAGGAGCTGAATATGATATGGTTACATTTTATTGCTGAGAAACTTGGTCTTGATGAAGTTAAATCAGTTCCAAGTTAGCAAGTTCCAGAGATAGGGCTTGAATCCTATGGTAAAATCCAGGGCTCCTCCTCTTCACCTTTTGTGATTTAGCCTATGCCATAGTATTTACCCTGAACCTTAGGCTATGAGACCAGGGTACCTGGCCTACAAGTGCAATGATGCTTCATGCTGGGGGATCCTAAAAGTATTGTCCTCTTCCAAGGTAAGGGAAAGTGACAGTACTCAATCAATCAGAGATAAGGAGTCCCTTTGTTTTCTAGTCCAATGTGTTTGCAATTGGAGCCACTGGATTCTTGGAAGAATTTATCCTTATGAAGGCAAGGACACAGGCCTTAAACTAGGGGCAAAACAGTTAATGTGCTTAGGCCTCATCTCTAGAACTGGACTTCAATCTGTCCAAAGTCTTTGCCCCTGGAGCACATGATCTTGAGGTGCCTTTCATCTCTAAGACCCAGTATATCTAATTGGAAGTAGACTTTTATTGCCTCTTCCTGTCTTCTTCACTCTGTAGCCCAAAGCTCCCAGGAAGCAGGCTGGTGGGTCAGGATAAGAAGATAACAATTTAGATTAGCAGCTGATGC